GGGGGGGAGGGAGCAGGGCAGAGCTGGTACTTATGTTTGGGAAGGGTCAGCAGCGTTTTGGGAGCAGATTCCCCCTGTAAAGTGGTCTAGTTATACGAAGACTGACCACTGACATCTGGTAGATGAGAAAACTTTTATTTCTTCTCAGTATAAATCATTTAACATCAGTGGACTGTCTCCTGACATATGGCATTTACATTGATACTGACTCACAACTGTAATTTTTCAGCACAGATTACACTGAGGGTTTGATTCTCCTCTCAGTTGCACCAGTATAAAACACAAAAAAATCCATTATCTTTGAATGTACTCCAGTATAAAAGACTTTTAAGAGAAGAAATATACATAAGAGCTTCTTTTTTTGTATTATTCCCTTTGATGAGCTCATAAGAACTTCACAATTCCACTGTGTCCTAGTATTTGCCAAACTTTGTGTTAGACGCAAAGACTATCTTAAATTATCTAAATATTATGCTAATTAACTTTTAAGGATGCTGTGAGCTTGCATAGGTAGCATGAGCATTGTAAACCACCCGTATTGAGAGCCCAGCTATCAGAATCACAACTTAGTGTCCCACCAAACTGCAAGGATACCTGACACGAAATAAATACTGACTGTATGCAGAAAGTCACATTATTCCGATTGGTTCTGTGGTACAATCATTAGTTTCAATGAGGCTGTAAAAGCTTTGATCCTTTGAGTTTGGGGAAGACAAGTAAGATAATGTGTGGCAGATGGTGAGCCCACATCACCTTTACAGTAGGACTTCTTCCACAAAATGCTTCTGGACCAGGAGATACCAAAAGGGTAGGGGAGCTGCCAAAAGTCATGTGCACTGGACAAGGCTTGGCAGCTCCCGAGTACAGGCTGAAGTGTTGCCCCCTTTGCTCTGTACAGTCAGACTAACTGCCTTTCTTAATTTTATAGGGCTTGTTGTTCAATACACAAATGACAATGGGATAACCTGGCATTTGCTGCGAGAGCTGGACTTCATGTCATACCTGGAACCCCAGGTTGTCTCGATAGACTTACCTCGGGAGGCCAAAACCCCAGCCACCGCTTTCCGCTGGTGGCAGCCGCAGCATGGTAAGCAACGCCACCCTAAAAATCCATTAAGCAGCTTTGCACAACTCGCATGTCAATGCTTCAGAGTATGGACATGCTCTGCGGAAACCTCAACTTACCAAATATACGGTACTGTGCTGGGTGCTGTGAGAGCATACTTAGGCTTTCCTCAGTCACACTCAGACATGATTTTCTTTTATGGCATCAAGCAGAATAGTGGACTTAAGAGTGAAATTGTTTAAAAGCTAAGTTTAAACTAAAGATGCTGAGAGATAACAGAGGGGAGGGGAAAAGAATGTTACGCAGAACAGCCTAAATAAGATTAGAGGATTTACCCAAGTATAGAGTGACCTGGGATGCAAAATGGCTTACACATTTTATCTATGTTTTTCTCTGTTTTGGAAAAGGAGGCATAACTTGGCCTTGAATCTGCCTACCTAGTGGCTCCCATCTCACTATTTTAATATCTCCACACTCCAAAACAGGACCCCCACCCCCTGCCATTTCTGGTGTCCCAGCACCCTGCTCCCCTGCCTTCTGCAGTGCCTTCAAAGCCCTCTCAGCCTCTTCCCAAATCCTCAGCTGAAAGTAAAAGCCTGGTACTGACTGATACCTACAGCCACTGTGAGACCTCCCACTTTGCATGAGGGCACGTTACCACTATTAAAAGTGTCCTGATTAAGTGTTTTGCCTTTGTGCAAGGCAGCAGCTCCTGGAACCCTGTAGGAAACACAAGGCGATATTCAGAAATATAGCCAAGTACATTTTAATAGCAATTCACTGGGGAGAAAAGCACACAGCTTACATTCAGGTAATTATGGTATGCAGCTTCTTGGATATCATTTATCATCTTGATGGCTTTTTTTTATTCATACATTTTCTTACAATGTATGTGCTGGAGTTAATTGTTCTCACTAGCCAAGAGAGTAGACAAGGAAAGAGGGATGTCTTCTAGTTAAGAAGCCAGTTCATTTGGGAGAAATGCTGAGAAGCAACCACAGACCATCGTTCTGCCACGATCATTTGTGCTGGTGAGTGGTGCAGTGTCAGACATGTTGCTCCCTACTTGTGTCCTGCCCATGGCCGCTTGCTCTGGGGGCACCTGGGTGACATCTCTCCCTGCTGGGAGTGGTCACTCCGAGACCACCTGATGGCAGTCCTGTGGCTCCCAGTAAGAGGGTGAGTTTATGACTGGAGGTTGAAATACCACCTTCCATACCAGCGCCCATAGGTGGTAACCATTCCTCGTTACATATATTAGCTCCTTTGTAGACTGTCTTCTGTCTGCCATAACTCAGTGCAGAGTGGCCCTATGAGTCACGACCCATGTTCCTCACAGCGGCAAGACAAAAGTCCTGGCACATCGCTGCAAGCTCACAATTTATTGTCAAGGCTTTCCTTCTTCCCCTGTGAGGGCAGTGACTGTATGGTAAGATGGCATTTCCAGCATGCCAGTAGAAAGGCGAATTGAAATGAAGGGCTGGAGAAACGGGCTGGAGATGATGGTGAACTGGGATGCCTGTAGGCTGGAGAGTTTTCCAGGTAGGAGAAGGTGAAGAACACTTCTATGAATATCATCTATATCAAAAGCCTTCAGCATTTTCCTCTGTGTACTATCCTCTTCCATACAAAAGGTACTTTAGGAACTAGACAGAGGCCTTTCCAATTTAGCCATGGGGAATGGTAGGAAGGTTGTGACCGTAAAATGAAAAACCCCTATCCAAGGGCTCAGAGAGTATCTCGTTCAAGCACGGTGAGAGCTTATGATGACAAAGGCACTGAAGCTTGCACAATGAAGAGGGAAATACCTGTGTTTATCTGAAACAGAATCATACTCCAGAGTCCAGGTTCATCCTTAGCAATGTTTTAGCCTTTATTAACGGCTCACTGGGTGAATGCAGGACATGGGGATAAAAAAAAACCTTACTGGGACTCCACTAACCTGCCTGTTCTGCTTTTTATAGGGAAGCATTCAGCTCAGTGGGCTTTGGACGATGTCCTTATAGGGATGAATGACAGCTCTCAGACTGGCTTCCAGGATAAATTTGATGGAACTGTGGATTTACAAGCAAGCTGGTACAGAATACAAGGAGGTCAAGTAGACATCGACTGCCTGTCTATGGATACAGCTCTGATGTTCAGTGAAAATATTGGTACGTGTCACCAAACATTGCTACATTTGTATGAGTCAATTTTATAAATTGTTTAAGGGTCAAGTTTTTACAAGATGGGAAGTATAGAAAATTCAGGTATATAGTAATCTGCAGGGAAGAGAAGGCTGAAAAAAGTTGAAAATACAGCAAGTAATTTGAATGACAGTACTGAAAGCATACATGTATGCTTTTTTGTTTGTTTTTCTCTCTTTTCTTAGGAAAACCTCGCTATGCCGAGACTTGGGACTTCCATGTATCAGCCTCCACTTTCTTGCAGTTTGAGCTGAGCATGGGTTGCAGCAAGCCGTACAGCAATTCTCATAGTATTCACTTGCAATATTCTTTAAATAATGGGAGAGACTGGCACCTGGTAACAGAGGAGTGCGTCCCTCCAACCATTGGCTGTCAGCAGTACACTGAGAGCTCCATCTACACTTCAGAAAGATTCCAAAACTGGAAGAGAATTACAGTCTACCTCCCACCCTCAACCAAGTGAGCACTGCTTTTCTGCTGTTTAGCATGATACTGATTTTGCTGATCTAATTTGAGCAAACATCCCCCAGCTTGGGAATTTTCTGCATGTCTTTTAAATTATTAAATGTGTGTGGTCACGCCATCGGAATGTTGAATTTCACTTCAAAATATTTCATCAGGTATGATATGAACTGCAGGAACTCAAGGAAGTAACATCTTTGGATGAGTGAATTCTTAAGTCTTCCCTATAATCTATGACAGCAAGAACAGGAATGCTAAACCAAGCTTTTCTAACATTTACCCAATAAGAAGCAAGAATTAATGCCCTGACCCATCCTTTCATATAACATTATTTTCCGTCATTGCACATAAATTGTCATCCAACATTTAGCCATGTTAGTCACGGCATTCAGCAAGTCAAAATGCGTGTTACTGGATGTGCCACCTCCACTCTTTTGACTGGGAGGAAAGTTCTGCGTGCCTCCTAGAGATATCACATGGTTGTAAATTGATGTGGCAGATAGGCTGGCATCCGTCTCTCTGAATAAAACCATACTCTAGTTTAGAAATAACAGATGATGATGATATTGGTTACCACTATTCTGAATAGTTCTGTAATTCTTCAAAGCACCCCACACATCACCTCGGAAAATACAGTGGTAAAAATGGACACACAGTAAATGAACTGGGACTGGGGTTGACATCTTGGTTTCTAATTCCATAGTTGGCTCCAGAGGAGCAGAGGATCATACATCTTCCAAAGAACCTTGTTCACAAATATAATGATAACCTGATCCTACGTCTGGAGGCAACTCTCTGTGCATAGTCTACAGCACATTTCCTGCCTGAACAGATGCGAGACTATCTAACCCATAGCATTTTGATAGATTTTTTTTTTCCAAAATGCTTTCCTCATCTGATAACAAGGCAGTTCAGCAACCACAGCAGTGGTTTGCACATATATATTCATACATTGTTATACATATATATGAACATACGTAATCACTGTTTTTTCTTTACACACTTTCATTACTTCCTACTTTACTGAAGCAATTATATCGTCTTAGGTCTGCTAGCAACATGTGGAGCTGTCAAATGCTTACACAGCTAAGCTTCTGCTCAACCACTTGCCTGTCCAGCAAGAGTTGAGCAATGTTCTTTCTTGGTTTTCACTTTGGGCACCTTCCTTTAGAGTCTGCTGGAATTTTGCCTTAAAAACGAACCCGAGAAACTGAAACTTCCAGTTTCAACTGGAATATGAATCTTTTCCAAATATGTGAAGTCATGCTTATTAATATGTTTTTCTTCTGAAGTCTATCGGATTTTTCTTTACTATTTAGCACTTTGTGGAGCAGAAATTTTGAAGCCTGAAGTACATTCGCTCTGTTTTTTCTAGTTCTCCCAGGACACGGTTCAGATGGATTCAGTACAACTATGCTTCTGGTGTTGATTCTTGGGCTATTGACAATGTGGTCCTGGCCACAGGTTGCCCCTGGATGTGCTCAGGCCATGGTATCTGTGATGCAGGTCATTGTGTGTAAGTAGCAACCTGCTTAACCTGCTTCAGAGAAAGATGTTGTGTTTTATCTAGGCCAAATGGATAACACCTTTTCCTCCCAATTTGTTGCTAGGTGTGACAGAGGCTTTGGTGGTCCGTACTGTGTCCCTGTCATTCCTCTGCCGTCTGTCCTGAAGGATGATTTCAATGGTAACTTGCATCCAGACCTTTGGCCCGAAGTCTACGGTGCTGAGAGGGGAAACCTGAATGGTGACACCATCAAGTCTGGAACAGCTCTCATTTTTAAAGGGGTCAGAGACTACTTCCATTGAAAAAAAAATGAATAAAAACCAGTAGAGTTAAAAAGAGGAAGTAAATTTTTTGTTGTTTCCCTCATGTTTACGTCAAAGTCTTTAGGATAGAATTTGACATTTTCATTTTTCTTGTCTTTTCCTGCCCTAAATATACACCATGTTTGTCACAGTTGGTTTTTATGAACAAATGGGTTTCATCTGTTTGTTGGCTATTACTTTTATTTGTGGTATAAATTCCTCCTTAACCACCAAAGGAAAAGAGTGAAACTCTGCGGCTGAGATTCTTGAGGCCAAGTGAGTGATTTGGAAACATGTTACCTGTTACAATCGATTGCGTTTGTGTCTTGAAATCCCCTGGCTGGCTTTTGAGTATTTTGAATAATACAAATTAGTCATCACTGTAGTCTGTGTAATCAATATTTATGTAGTTAGACTGTGTTTTACTTAATTCTATCATTTTGAAGTTTTCTAGCTCTTTAAGGATTTTTTTTGTTAATTACAGGTTAAAAAAGGCCAGGAGATGTCATATGTTCTGAACTTGTCAGTTCTTCAACAAAACACATAATAGAAAGACTCTCATTCACATAAGCACACGAATTTTAAGCTCACACATGAGATTTATTTGACAATGTGAATTCAGGTGCCCCAAAAAAGTGAAATTGAAAAACGTTTGGTGTAGAAATTAATTATTTAGAAATATTTCTTTGCAAAAGCTTGTCTCCTGTTCAACCTCCTTAGATCATTTAAATAACAAATCACAGGATGTGAATTGTCTGAAATTTGGACTAGTTGTTCCTGCAGGTTGTTCCCCTGGGGGAATGGGTTTGAGAAAGAGGGAAGCTCTGAGAGGCAGTTTGCCAGATCTCTGCAGAACCAGGACCAGCTCTGGCCCCAAGATCCACATAACATTGAGCTCATCTACAGAGATGGACAGGACCTTAGGGGTCACTATAAGGTTTCCTGTCTGCTCCCTGTCCTTACTGCTCTACGTCAAGAAGTTGCCCCAGACGAGGATATTATGGTACAAAATATTTTTTGAGGCACAGAAAAGAGCTCCTAGAGAGGATTCTTCCTGTCTGGAAATTAGGGTGCTTGGCTACTATACAATTTGCCCCAAAAATGAGTATACTAACTTGGACTCATTGTCTGAGTAAGTCAATGCTTGCAGATCAGATCACATCCCAGTGGTTCAGAGCACGAACCGAATGACCTGTACCTGTGTCTGTACCTGATTGTGTAGCTGTGCCTCTGGTGGTGACACACACCCATATCTAGCCCTTTCCATTACTGTGGCTCACTTTGCCAAGGCTATCACTGTCCCCCTTTTTTGCCTGGGAGAAGATGTGGGACAGAGAACTACATCTCTCGCTCCCTTCAGGAGTCAGAAATAGACAACATCCAGACAGTAGTAAGCTGCAGAGCATCTTCGATAATGGGAACTGAGATTCACACTATATGTTCTGTATTTGCAGGAAGGACTGAGAATGCTTGTTTCAAGAGATCTAGATTGCACTAATACTGTGTACATCCAGTTTTCATTTAAATTTATTGCCAAAGGTAAGATCACTGTTAATTTCCTACCACTTCTTCAGCTCTATTCATACATAGTAGCATCACAGAAAAGAATATGAATTTACATTTTCAGCTTCAATGTACGTGATCATCAGTTTATGGCAGATAATATAGGAACTCGTTTGAGATTCTGCTTCATCCCTACCTTGCTACCCCCTACATGGCTCTGCAGTTCCTAAGAAATAGTAAACTGTGGTGGTGTCAAAAACAACACAGCTAGTACAGTCTTTGAGCAGAAGAGAAACAAAACAGTTCAAGCTTTTTTAGAGATTTGACAGTGTGTTAGGAAAAAAATTGATTTATCCGCTTTTAAAGTCATAAAATGGTGCCCATAGTAGACTACTTAAGGGACTGATAAGGAACTACAGGATTTTTCATTTTCAGGCTTCAGTCCACTGCATGAAAAGCTCTTACCATTTGACTTCCTAGTAGGTATCTTAGAGATGACTAAAACTCCATAATTCTATTTAATTGTGTATGAAGAATAGGCAGACTTTGCAAGCCAAGTTTACACATTGGTGCAACAAGCTTGGGGCAGTTTCTCTAGTACAAGTATTTTCAAGCCAATGATTCAGTTTTACCCTGCTCCAAGCCCCTGCCATCTCTGGCTTTGCAAAATAATTTTATCCAAGTCAGGAGTGACGTAGTGGAACACTAATAACCTGGTTGAGGGCCTGAGTCACTCCCATGCAATTTCAGAAGTTTTTTCCAGCTTTGCTCGTAGAACGAGCACTTCCAGGCTGAACTCTCAACATGCAAAAACACCTCTCCCTTTGGTGGAAGACGTTCATAGCTTCTGTGGGAACCTCAGCACTCTGGGACTGGACCCTAGCTGACTTGCCATTTGCCACAGGACAGTGTGAAAATAGTTTTGAACCACATCTTTCTTCCTAAATAAATGTCTTAGCCAAATCTGTGTATGGACAAGTAAAATATAGATCCTTCTGAATTAAGTTTGATTCTCTTCCATAAGAAATAGGCATTTAATCATATATATTTGGCTATTTATTACTATTCTTTAAGTACTTTATGGAAAAGAGAGAAAACAGTGACAGCCAAAACCAGTAACATGCCCAACATTTCATGCTTAAAAGCAAAATCTTTGTGAAGACTTCTTTTATAAAACTATGCCTTGGAAATATTTCTACATATGATCCTTGCCAAAATATTAAAAAATACGATGAGTAAAAATATAATTCTGAAAGGCAGGAATAGCCAATGTCTCAAGGCTGGATTTTGACACTTGACCCACAAGAGGTAAAGCAGTGAAACTCCAGGAGAAATCTTTTCTCATTAAATCTATATGGCTTGCTAGCCCTAGGCCTGGATGCAGGACTTAGTCCCAATAAGCTAATGTTGAATGCATATTAATATAGCTGGGCACATCTCAGCTGTAAGCGTTAAGAGCTGTGTGTTGTTTGCTGTTAAGTGACACAGATAAGCTGAAATCAGCTCCTGACCGCAAAAGTCTCCTCCCAGCCCTCTTCCACATGTGGTGATTGAAGAGAGACTTTGTGCGGGAGCAGAATGGAGTTGGAGCATGCACATCAGGCACTTTGCCTTCAGCAAATTTGGTTAATTTAAGAACAGAACACGGGAGAAACTTGCATAGTAACACACAGTGAGGCAGGGATGAAGAAACTGTCCCTTAGTCCTTTTCTACTGCTAGTTCCTGCCCTCGGACTGAGTTTTTGGGGAAATGCCACCACTGTGCCATACTATGAAGAGACTGGAGCGTGTAAATTTGTCTGAGTGAGAACTCAGCTCTGAGATACCATCACTTAGGCTTTGATGTTTCTTGTCAGCAAGTCAGGCATGGGCCAAACATACATTAAAGACTGAGCTTGTGGCAGGGTAATCAGCATCAAGTGAGAGTGCTGGGCTCCAATCAGTGTATGTTAATAGCTAGGGCTGTAAATAGCCTTTAATGACTCTAAATCTTTAAGTGAAAAAAGGAAAAACTGGTAGTCAGAAAACGCAAATCTTACTCTCAGTTCCACCACTGATTTTTAGGCCCAGGTTAAAGCACAGAATATTGCTTTTTTGTTGTTGTTGTTAAAACACGCCAATAAAGTTCCTCGGTGCTTTCCACTAATTACATGATTTCTGGTCATGAATATGATCAATGTCAGTGTCTGCAGTTGGAGCCATAGACTATAAATTTGTGAGGATAAGGACGGTGTCTTCGTCTGTGGGTGCTACAGATGGTGATGATAATGTCTGGTACCTGGGAGAAACAAGCAAATAAATATTGAATTACTGAAAAATCTCTGTGGTAGAACTAGCTGGTTTGTTCTAATCTAAAAAATTATAACACTGAGATAGCTTCTCATCTAAGTAATTAACTGTGACCATACATATAATGAACAGCAATGCAAATTTAGCCCTTAATTTATTAGCATTTTGCAGACAGACAAAGCACAGGAAGATGTATATGTACAATAAACATATAAAGTTTCAACAGCCTAGGTAAAAGGCTTGTTGAAGGAAGCCTCCTTGTTGAAGGAAAGCTATGCATACTCTGTAATAGATATCAGAGTAACCTAATTGTATTTACACTTGAAGAACTGTTTTTGAGCTAGTGCTTTTTGAAGCCAGATTATAATGAGCATAAACGTATGTCCTCTCTCCTCCAGGCACCCCCGAGAGGTCTCATTCTATCCTGCTGCAATATTCTGTCAACGGTGGCATCACTTGGCACCTGATAGATGAGTTTTACTTCACACAGACTACAGACGTCCTCTTTATCAACGTTCCTCTGCCCTATGCAGCCCAAAGCAATGCAACACGGTTCAGGCTGTGGCAACCTTACAACAATGGTAAGGATGAGACATCCATGGGACTCCAGGTCCACACTTGCACAGCTCAGCATCTGTAAGAGGCTAGTTTTTTGGACTCAACAATAATACATGCTTTAAAGTGAAAGTACCTTAACCTAATACCCCTTGACTGTGTGCAGAAGACTATCGGCTTTGGTCCTGAAGGGACTGGGAGACCAAGCAACACTGATAAAGTTAACTTCACACTGGTCCTTCTCATTATTTTTAATGGAGCTGATTCTCATTTACACTGAGGCCCCATAAGAATACCCCAATTACATAAAAGTGTCCCAAGTGTAAATGGGAACAGAGCCTACCTCGCTCAGAATTAACTAGGCATTAAAAACCCATTTAGAAAGAGTATGTAGTGAGCAGTTAATCTTTTGATTAAATTGTAAAGGGCTGTAGAAGACCACAAGAGGAATGCAGCTCATTCCTCCTGATTACAGGAGATGGGTCAGCTGAAGAAAGCTCTCCTTTGCTCTCAGTTACTCTGAGCACATCTCTTAGCAGGAGCTGATATTAAGGGCTCTAAAGAATTCCAACAATCATTTAGATACAGTGATACAGCAATGATTTATTCCATGCAAGCAAATGTGTAGCGCACCTTTAACAAAAAAAAAAAAAAAGGCAAATTCAAATCCAGTCCTAAGAATCCAGTTACAGTTCATTCTTCTGATGGGTCCTGTCTAAAACATTTAACTAAACCTTTCTAGCAGACATTATTCTTAAGTAGGAATTTTATTTAAAAGAAGCCTTTTAACTTTCTCTGGTCAACACAAAGGCTTTTAGACAGATGAAAAAAAAACAGTTACACAAAAGATTTGGCAACCTAATCCTTCCTCTCCAGTTTGAAAGCACCAATTTTCTGACATATTTGAATTCATAATCCTTTGGAAAGAAGGTCACTTAGAGTTTTCTTTTCTCTTGAAGAGCTCTTGCCAGGCAAACACAAGGTGCTGTGTGCAAGGAAAAAGGTGTAGAATGAAATTATCCTTTCAGGCTCCTTGGGCTTTACAGCAACTGCTCATTTAGGTGATTCTTAATTAAAGAAGCATTGATGCTGGAGTTCCAAAGTAAATGTGATTTAAACAGAAGATAATTGTTCAACACAGATTTTCTTTCACTCTTCAGTTTGCTGTGAGTTCTATAAATTTTAGAAGACAAAAAGTTAATTCTGTAGGGTCAGGCTGCAGACCAGTATGGGAACTATTGTCGTGGAAAATTAAAACAGTGAAGCCAGGCTTTTAGCACCCTTTTCTCCATGTAATTCATAAATATTGGCTACTGATCTGATCTCTAATAGTAGTAGTATCAGGTCTTAATAAGAATGTTCTCCTTTTCTATGTAGGCAAAAAAGAAGAAATTTGGATTATTGATGACTTCATTATTGATGGAAATAACCTAAAGAATCCCATGATCCTTTTGGATACATTTGACTTCGGTCCCAAAGAGGACAACTGGTTTTTCTATCCTGGTGGAAACATTGGGCTTTATTGCCCATATTCATCTAAAGGAGCTCCGTAAGCATCTCTCAGCAATAGAAATGAAGTGACTGTATAATAAACTGAGTCTAAAGCACCCCTTTCCTTTTCTTACAGGGAAGAAGATTCAGCTATGGTATTTGTTTCAAACGAAGTTGGAGAACACTCCATTACAACAAGGGACCTGAGTGTAAACGAAAACACTATAATCCAATTTGAGGTACTCGTCCTCAGAAAGTTATTTTGCCTTTTGCTTAGAGAGTTCTGTCCTTTCAGGTTCTGCTCTTTGGTATATTTGCCCAACTGTTATGATTACCAAGTAGAGAAGCCTGTCTGATTGCCCTTGTAAGTGCTTTGATATTACTTTCCCTCACATGGGTGTATCGTGAAGATTTTAATACACAGATAAGGGAAATTTCTGCCTCGAAGTCTTCTACTTTCTTGCTTAAATTACTACTTTGTCTATGCCTATATAGTCGCACTGATAGCATTAAAGTCTACATCCTACAGGTTGGAGAGTCACCAATGACAGACAAGATGATGAGTAAAATATAGTGAGGGTCCAGATTGCCACTTCACAGTGTGATCAGGATAAGTGTGCAGCATTTCCACAAGCTGACCCAGTGGAGAGCTATGACTTCATCTGTGACACTGGAAATTAGTTTTTCCTACCTTCTTCTGGCTTAACTGCACTGTTGTACTTTCTCAGAGAGCCAAGTTTCTGCTTTCCTTTTGCTTCTGCCCAAGCTTTCATAGTTGCTCTAGAGGAAGCTGTTCTTTGGCCATGATGGCCTGAATTCATCCCATCTTAGGGAGTTATCTAAAGCTCATGAATAAGGAGCGTATTTTTTGTGCTTCTCATATAGCCCGTGAAAACAAGTACCCCAATGACAATACATAGTCTAAACTAAACTGTGTTTCTGGTTTATCCTAAAATCTAAACTGTGCATTGGCTAGGGCAGCTACTGATGGGAGTAACCATTTAGCCTAGCATCTATTAGCTTAGAGGGGTCATTATATTTTCATTAAGAAATTGTAAAAGAGTCTTTCACATAAATTGCCATGCCACAGCTACCAGGATGCTTTCAACAAAGATGTAGCATGCTGTAACATTAAACAGCAAATGATACTGGTTTATAAACAACTACTAAAATGATTCTAAGTCTTTTCCAAGAACACCAGGTTTAACTGTGTGCTCATGCATGCTTCAGTTTGTCATGCAACTAATTCATAAATTATTGAATGCAAACCATTTTCTGTTTTAAAATATAGATTACAGCCTGTAGAACAAAAATGTTTGAGGTCACTTTAAGATATTCATAAGTCTTCAGAGCACTAACCTTATAAAATCTACATGCTTCTTTCCATATGTGGTAAGAAGATTGTTTTCAGCTCACGTTTTTGAGGACATTAGTATAAATGAAGAAGTTATGCATAATGCAATAGTTTCTCTCTGTGTCTCAAGAGTCAAAACCTATATTGGGTCAAGCACCTCTCTAAGCTTCTAGATGAGTAGACAACCCTTCTAGTCAAATGTAGGTTGAGGGGACTCATGTGCGCTGAAGAGTGATGAAGGAAATTCAATGTAGGATACATTTTCAACATTTATGCACAGTTCTATGTACTACTGGGTTTTACAAATAAGTAGATTTTCATTACAGAGCAGCATGTTAGAAAGACACTTATTTTCTGCTACAAAGATACCCAAAATGTTTCATAGTTTTAGTGCAGGCTTTGTATTCTATCAGCAATGAGTTTTTATTTATTGCATGGTAGTGTACAGTACATCTTATTTTATGTGACAGAGTCATCCTGTAAAGGAACTAATTCTTCTTCTTTCATACAGCAATTTGAAACTAAAAGAACATCTTAATATAAGTGTGAAAGAAAAGCAGAGTAATTTGCACTGGATGCATACAGAAAATACGTCTTAAGAGGTCTCAGATTCTGTACAAAACATATTTTATATATTTTTCAGTAGTAGAATTGTTGCTCATATAAGTTTTCTGCCTTTCCTACTGTTCTCTACATCAGGAATCTTGTAAGAACAGCATGAGAAGTTTGACATTTCCAAACTATGTTTTGGTGTGACATTGAACCTAAATCCAATCCAGCTATGATGCTCTTTTAATGCTGTCTCCTAGGGCTTTGCTGTTATACATGAACAAATGGATAGTGAGTATGAAAGCTGAAGAACATATTGAAGTGATACAGCACACACCCTGTGGCATAAGCCACTTTTGGAAGTATAACTCAAAAGAAGACCATAGCGCAGCTCAGCAGTTTAACAAAAAGTTTATGTTTGCACATAACTATTTAACATCTTTGTTGGTGACATGGACAGTGGGATTCAGTGCCCCCTCAGCAAGTTTGCTGACATCACCAAGCTGTGTGGTGCGGTCAACATGCTGGAGGTTAGGGATGCCATCCAGAGGGACCTTGAGAGGCTGGAGAGGTGAGCCTGTGCAAACCTCATGAAGTTCAACAAGGCCAAGTGCAAGGTCCTACACCTGGGTAAGGGCAATCCCAAGCACAGATATAGGCTGGGTGATGAGTGAATCAAGAGCAGCCCTGGGGAGATGGACTTGGGGGTACTGGTGGGTGAAAAACTCAGTATGAGCCAGCAGTGTGCGCTCACAGCCCAGAAAGCAAATCGCATCCTGGGCTGCATCAAGAGAAGCGTGGCCAGCAGGTCGAGGGAGGTTATTCTGCCCCTCTGCTCTGCCCTGGTGAGACCCCACCTGCAGTGTTGTGTTCAGTTCTCAGGTCCTCAGCACAAGAAAGACTCAGACCTGTTGGAGCGGGTCCAGAGGAGGGCCACGAAGATGATCAGGGGGCTGGAGCACCTTTCCTATGAAGACAGGCTGAGAGAGTTGGGGTTGTTCAGCCTAGAGAGGAGAAGGCTCTGGGGAGACCTTACAGCGGCCTTCCAGTACTTAAAGGGGGCCTGCAGGAAAGGTGGGGAGGGACTCTTGATCAGGGAGTGTAGTGATAGGACCAGGGGTAACAGTTTCAAACTGAAAGGTGGTAGATTTAGGTTAGATCTAAGGAAGAAGTTTCTTTACTATGAGTGTGGTGAGACACTGGCACAAGTTGCCCAGGGAAGCTGTGGCTGCCCCCTCCCTGGCAGTGTTCAAGGCCAGATTGGATGGGGCTTTGAGCAACCTGGTGCAAGGTGTCCCTGCCCATGGCAGGGGGGTTGGAACTAAGTGATCTTTAAGGTCCCTCCCAACACAAACCACTCTATGATTCTACAATTTTGGTTTAATATTTCTGGTTTTAAAATTGCACATTTTTTGGTGCTGTGATTACCTCAGTGCCTGCCAAAGGACTGTAAGACCTGGTGCGTTTTCTCCAGCAACATTAGCCACTCTCTTTTGGGATTTTGTCTAATTAACTTCAGGGTTCTCTCTTAGTAGAAGTAGTTGGGGATTTCATATTACATTCGTTTTATGATAAGCCAGAGTGTGATAGGCTCATGGACAGGTAGGACAATGTGCAAGAGTTAATGTTCACAAACATGTCCTGAGTGCATCATCCCAGTTGATAAATGAGTTCTCAAATCACCATTTTCCTGGGCTAAATAAATACTGTACCAAATAGGGGAGGCTGACTAAGATGAAGAGTGATTAGGGGTCCCACAGCCTGCCCTTGTCATCTTCTGCATTTCATGTCTTGGCCCCCAGATCAATATCGGCTGTACCACTGATAGCTCCTCTGCTGACCCGGTAAAGCTGGAGTTCTCACGGGATCTAGGGGCAACCTGGCACCTGCTGCTCCCCTTGTGCTACAGCAGCAGCAGTCACCTCAGCTCCCTGTGCTCCACTGAGCATCACCCAAGTAGCACTTACTACGCAGGCACCACCCAGGGCTGGAGGAGGGAGGTCATTCACTTCGGAAAACTGCACCTCTGTGGGTAAGTGTCCAGCTCCTGTTCCTGCCCAGCTGCTTGTTGGTTTGTTTTTATTTCTGTTTTCCATCCAAAATGTTCTCCCAGCACAAGCGAGGTGCATAAGAACTGCAGCACTAGAGCAGACCAGATGACCAATTTTTCTCTTCTTTTTGTCCTGAATGTTAGTTAGTGTTCAGGTGATTCCCGAAAATATGTTGCTTAATGTTAGCGTAGAATAACTGCAGATAATTTCCTATTTATCCATATACATAATTGGTGACATTTTTATGGATGTGGATTGCTTGGTAAAATTAACGCAAAACTGAACATCCTTAAAGAGCTTTCAATGTTCTTTACTGAAGTGCATTAGCCATTTGAATTCATCAAGGATATTCTTGCATGAAACTTGAGATTCATTAGAAAATGCAGTAAAATGTGAGCTAGTATAAACTTGATTCTACTTCAGTCTAAGGAAATGGACTGATCTAAATACTCAAGGTCTCTTGCATCTGTAAAGTTCTCTGATTATAAGAAATGAACTGATGCAGTCACTCAGAAACTTAAAGTTTGTAGAACAAACCAGGTTGGATGATAACAGATACATAGCACAGAAAAAGAATATATGCTAGCGGGCATAATACGTAACTTTTCAATGTATAAAAGAGTGCTGTTTACTTTTTCAGGGAAAACTGCCTTTTAGCATCAACTCAGATTATGTAAAAAATCACATCATTAAGGATTAAGCCGTAGCACATATGAATGAAAATGAGCTATGCAACTATGAGTCTTCATGAATCTATGAAACTATGAGACTGAATATTTACGAAATTACAGCATGCAATGGGCCCTCCACTAAATATGTGGCTCCATATGTGCCTCTGAAAGTATGAAAAGACCTATATAAGAGATGAGAACCAAGCTTGGAAAGTCTGGATGTTTAATAATTTAAGAAAATGTTTAAATTTTAAACTTGAATTTTCTGGTTTATGACAGTTAACATTTCAAGCATGGAATAGGTAACACTCTCTTGCAGCAGCTCATTTGTCCTTCTGGTTTTGCCCAAAAGAATTATTTGACCCTCTACCCAACTACCAATGCGTCCCTCCAAAGGAAAATTTTTACTATGGAGACTCCTAACTCATTTAAATCTTGCAGGTATTTTGGTTTAGTCCTCTGTTCCTGAGTGTTTCTGTCCTCTTTGCCTGCCTTCCCTCCCATTTCTTCCCCAACACGCCAGGCTAGAAGCCAATTGCTGGTAGTCAGCTAAAACCACCAGCACAGAACAGCTTCCGTGGAGCATTTGGTGCCATGAAATTCTTGGGCCAGAGGGCTGAAGGGGGATCTTCTCCACCAGAATCCACAGGAATAACAAGAAAAAAACTCCAAACCTGACTCCTTGTGTAATTCTAAAAAAAAAACCCAACCTTTTCATCCCCCAAGTGTCAAATGATTATATTTAAATGAAGATGAAGACATTTTCAGTTACTTCCACTATATATGTTATTTTGGACATTAATAAATGTTCTCAGCAGACAGCTGTAACTAAGAATTAGTATTACAGTTATGTCCCGAAGAAAAAGCCCAGGGCCTGTTGAGCCAGTGAAGAAACACCTACCAACTTCAGCAAGACCAGTATTTCACTCTTTGCTTCAGACAGGAGTCATGCTTCACCCTCACCAGGAGGGAGCCTGAGAGAAGGAGCTGACATGCTTCAGGGGTGGAACAAATCCAGTCCATGGGGCAGAGATCTCTGAACAGGAGCTTACATCTCCAGCCTCACACTTGTGTCCTTCACCTCAGAGAGCACTAAAATCAATGTTTTTGACTTCCAGCAGGACTCTGGTTCTTGGGTACCTTTCTTTAAACTCTTAGTAGTGTCCCCACACATCAGCTATCCCTTATCACCTGAATCCCCTCATGAAAATTCCTTTTTAGCAAATCAAGACAAAAAAATCTCACCAACTACCTGTGCTATTTATTGGTTCACCTGCTACATTTAGATATCTCTAATAAGACACATTAAACATGCAAGGCAATTAAGTGCTTTTCCCTTCTCTACCCTTTTGGTTTCCTTCCTCCTTTAAAATGTTTTCTCAATTGGGAATTAAAATTAGTCTCTCAAGTGTTTTTCCCCATCTCAATTTGTTTTCCCTCCTTCCCCCGTCAGTTCCTCTCTATAGGCAGCATTTATGTGAGTAGCACTTAGGAGGCGAATTAAAAATGACATGACAGCACCCAAAGGAGAATATAGTTTAAATTAACAACTTGCAGTACCAGTCTGCTTTAAGATTAAGCTGCCCAAAAGCAAGCTGAAGTACCTGGTGGCATGTCAGATCATATTTTCTTTATGTGTAATTGAGAGTGAGATCCTATCACCCCAGCTCCACAGGTGGTCTCCCTGGGGGCAGAGTAGCAGCATGAAGTAGGATTTCACTCTCCAGGAGAGGGTGAGAGTGACCCAGTCTGCCCCAGACACTGTACACCAAAGCAGAAGGAATCCATCAGACCACAGCCATTCATCCTCCCCATGAACGATGGAGAGAAGAGTGGTCAGATTTCAAATCCCATTTTCAAGTCCATCACTCAGTTTTAGTATTACAACTAATGAATAACATTATTTTTATTTCTGTCAGTACTTGGGTTGAACATCAACATAAAGATGTATGAGGTACTGAAGGAATTAGACATAGCAGCCAGTTTCTGGAATTAAGCTATTTATCAAGCCAGTTCCAATGAAAGAGTAGTATATAGATGCATAGTGTGTTGTATATGTGGGATACAAAACAGATGGAACTATTATTTAAAGTAAGCACATTTTATGCCTTTTTCAGGTTGGCAAGATTCAGATGGTACCAAGGATTTTACCCTGCTGGATCCCAGCCAGTGACTTGGGCCATTGACAACGTGTACATCGGCCCACAGTGCGAGGAGATGTGCAATGGGCACGGCAGCTGTATCAATGGCACAAAGTGCATCTGTGATCCTGGGTACTCTGGGCCAACCTGCAAAATAAGTACCAAGAACTCTGACTTTCTTAAGGATGATTTTGAAGGTATCTCTTTTTTTGTGGGGGGGAGGTTGTGTCTGAATTCTGCCTATCCATCTTAGTGGAACGCAGGGCTCAAGGGATAAAACAGTAAAGTCTTCCTCACCCCTGTATGCTTCTGAATATAAGTTATGCTGTAGGGGCATGCCCATGAACCGAGCAGCTTAGACGTCATTCTCAAGCACAGTTTGTGAATGTCTGATGGCTATCAGTTGTCTGGTTTGGAGTGACTGACTCTTGGTGAAGTTGTTGATGCTGGAATACAAAATATTCACCAAAATAAAATTTCCTGAGACTCCACATGTAGAAAATAGTTTTAGAAGAAAATGGTGCTTTGATGGTAGTTTGACTTCAGCACAGACAGAACACGTGCAAGTGAGGCAAACGACAGAGGGTTTTAAGTTTGTTTTTTCTCACTACAATGGAAATCTAAGTGGCCTTAATACAGCAAACATGGTTTTAGAGCAGACTGTGTATCTCAGGGGTGAGAGCCACCACTCAGCAGGCATGGCAGACACCAAGCGATGGATGGCCAGAGGGAACTCAAAGCCTCATGCGTGCCTGGGCACACAGAGCATCCACGCACACAACTCTGAAACCACCTCGAAGTTTCCCTCACTAGCAAGCATGGCAAGAAGGGCACATTTTGAATAAAGCAGCACTTGTGAACCAAACTCATCCCTTCGTAGGTGCTGCTGTTCATTTTGAATTTTGCCAGCACTTACTTGCATGCTACCACACAGTGCCCCAAGTTTCTTCATAGACCTTGGTACTTCATTGTTAACTTAAGAAAAACAAAAAAAAGTGGAAAAATCTTGTGAATAACTGGAGACTAAGATCCCAGATTTTGTACTTCTGTGTTTATTTTGTTTATTTTGTTTTGACTCGTGGCCGTTTTCTAGAATACATTGCATCAGAAATGCTGGATATTTCTTCACGCTGCATGTGATGTTTAATTTATCTCTCTTCCTCTGGAAATAGTACTCTTGCAGTAGGAGCACTTCAGAGTAAATCATAAATATGTATTTACTGTGTATTCAGGTCAGCTGGAGTCAGATAGATTCCTGCTTGTGAGTGGTGGGAAGCCATCAAGGAAATGTGGTATCATGTCTGGAGGAAACAACCTTTTCTTTAATGAAGAAGGACTACGTATGCTGATGACTCGAGACCTAGATTTGTCACAAGCCAGGTAACACAATTTCAGAGTTCTTTCAGGGTTTCACTGAAGAAATAATATACTGAAGAATAACACATATGTGATACTTCTGTAGTAAAGGCACACTGATATATTCTGTGGTCCTTACTCTAGGAAATATTCCATGGTCCTTACTCTAGGAAATATTCCATTTTAAACACTGTTACCATTTTAAATTAAATTTAACTTGAACTTTAATGGGATTAACTATTTTAATGCTACTTTTTTCCTTGAATAAGAATTCCAGGATCTGATGCCACACCTTCAGTAGTTTATATAAGTTTTTATTTCTTGAATGCATAACACAAGAAAGCAACTGCATGTCACACGCTCTGCTTGTCTTACAGTTTGGTGTATTATAAGCCATTGCTGAAACAGAAGTATCTGCTGCCAGTATAACTTACATTCATCATCTCATAATTCCTTTCTTTCTGAAGCTTACTTTCTTCTTTTTGTGCACATTTGTTTCCAATAATTCACTGAGAAATTCGCATCAAGCTGCCACCAGCTACACTGAGCACATTGAAAACCAAATATTTTTAGTGTATTTAGAGATTATGTTGTATCATTACAGCCTGCAGAGGAGATATTTGATGAGTGAGGCAATTACACCAACCTAAGTTAAACCACATCCTAACTGAGGGCATGCTAACAAACAGGCATTGTTTTCTAATTTATTCAGTATCTTAGCTTATATCCTTATATTATCACTTTGGAGGGGTTGTATTTTCTCCGAGACTTTTTTCCACTGATCTTTTGTAAACACCCTACTTCTCTCTAATGTTCTGTGGGAAACACTTTAACAGGCACTTTATCTCTTTTTGACTTGTCTTTATTCGCATAGAACCTTTAAATAATGATTTAATTGCATAGCCTCATGGTCAATAAAGATGTCTAATTTCTAACCATTCTATTCTTTAGATCAACAGTTAGGTAACCCTCACTGAGGTGCGATATTAAAGATCCCTGTACTGAATTTGTAAGAATCCTCACAGCAAACTTTTTTCAGAAGCTAGTAAACACAAACATCAATTCTCTGCACTCATTTGATTTCCTAGACCATTCTGAAATTAAAATATTGTTTAACAAATGATACAAGAGATCTTGTAAGTTGTTCCATTAAACTAAATGACATGTTTTCCTTATTGCTCGTGTTCAAAGAACCATCATTTATCTCTCCTCCATGAGTCTGTAGCTGGATTTGCATATATTGACCTCAAGGTGTCATATGGAGATAAATGACTTCTGTCTTAGTAAAAGGAAAACAAAGCAGTACATTTCATTTCTTGTATATGCGTATAAAAAGTAACAGTTATCAACAATTAACTGTATGTTCTTTTCTGAACAGCAAGGCAGACTGCAACAGTGTTGCTGGGGGCTGCTCTTTAGCAACCTGAAGCAATTGCAGAGGGATTTTCTTAATTTCCAGGATGACTCTATTGGCCACCTGCAAAGCACAACAGATCTGGTTGTGACACAGACACGACAAATTCTGCAAAGGACTTGGGGAGAGGTTTCCACTTATGTCAGGAATTACGAGTACCAGCATTCCTAATTAATAGATACTTTTAAGGGACTAGACTCAGTAGTCACGTTAAAACTTCCCCTTTTCATATGAGGTATTCCCCTGAAGTACAAGGGACCAGTGGTGTCTGTCAGTGCTGCAAGTCATTGTCAGTACCTGGGGATTGAAATCAAGTGGACTCCCTAATCCACTATCCACTGCCATCACACCTATATTTTAAAGAATTTGACATAGGTGACAGTATATCACCATCATGGTGATACCAGTAGCTGGAACTGCACAGCATGAAATATCAGTAGGGACAGAACATTTTAGATATCACAATGGATCAAATCCCTTTCAATTCTGAATTACTAGAAGACTATCCACACATTTCAGTGTTAATAGATCTACAAGAAAATTTTGCTATTCCATTTCAAAATAGGCAGAGCCTTTGCAAAATATCTGTGGGATGAGAAGAGGTATTTAAAACTACTTTTTCATCTGCTAGAGGTTATGTTACCTATATTTGAGTGGCTTATTTCTATATTAGTAAAAATTGAGATAAAAGAATCGCAATCCAGAGAGAGCAGGTTCAACAGAGACAAGGTCACCTGGGTTTATTTCCTTTGAATTATGTGGTGAATGTCGGAGTAAATCTGAGGAGGCACAAAGACTTGCCAGCAGTGAATCCAATCCATTACAGTTGATATGTTGATCCATGAGGGTCCCCAGTGCTCCTTTACAGCACAAGCAATATGTTATGTCTGGGACGTGGAGGTGGATATAACCTATAGCAAAAGAAGTTATATATAGTAGCAAGAGAAACTGTGAGTCGCAGCAAGGACTAGAATTAATTGACTTGCAGGTCTGGTGTTTTATTGAAGTTTTGTCTACCCAGCACCTCTGCAGCCTCCACTCCCGGCGGATCTACCTGCAGATCAAACCAGAGCAAGACTTTTAATACAAAACTTCTTTTGCGCCGTTTCATTTAACCGTGAGGCAGGCAGCTCTAATGCACTAATAATTAGAACAGATACAACACTCTAAAGATGTGCAAAAGCTGTGCAAACATGAATTAATACTTGTAATATCCCTGTGAGTCCAATAGGTAAATATCATTACAGCAACAGTTCCCTCCACTCCAAGTGCATAGTAGAGCTATTTATGAGCATCGGCCAATGGGAAGAATTTCGCAGTTTGATACAAGTCTATTGTGCTGCTTTGGGGAAGCTAATTAAATAGGGGATGAAAGTGCTGGTGTCCCTGGGTGGCTGGGCTGGCTTCAGAGAAGCCAGCACATTTAAGCAGTGTGATTTAGACAAATTTCTCAGGCTGACTAAATGATCCCTGAAAGTGAAATGTGCTTTGTTCTCCTGTCCAGATTTTCTCTAGTTTATGCCAGTGGAAAACCAGGATGCTTATTTCGAATTTAAGCATTTCATCAAATTCACAGCAAATTATGATCTACTTAGGGCACCATTGCTTTTCTGCCACTAAAATCTGTACTCATGGGCTACAGGGATAAAAATTTCACCCAGGATTATGTTTCTGATATTTGCAACACCATCTGCTATGCAGACAAAAGCTCAAAACATAAATGACCGCCTTTGTTCAACCCCTTCTGCCTGGCAAACTACCACTCAGGCAAAACGATTTTTTGTCATCCCACCTGTTTGTGTGCTTACATTCTGGAGGCTTTGAAAAGGAAGTCGTAAGATTTCCTAAAGCTGACTTTTACAGCAAGAAATCACAGGGCTAGTCAATAGACAAACTCCGAGTCTCTCTAGTCGGTTGTCTAGGATGTTGCAGAAAATAAATCTTTCCAGTAATTGCTCGCCCTGTTAGATTTGTGCAGTTTTTCATGAGACTGGGATGTGGCAAAGGGGTGCCGGACCCCAGGAGCCAGCCTGTGCTGCTGCAGTATTCACTCAACGGGGGCCTCACATGGAGCCTTCTCCAGGAGTTCCTCTTCAGTAACTCCAGCAACGTGGGACGATACATTGCCCTGGAAATTCCCTTGAAGGCCCGTTCCAGCTCCACCCGGCTCCGCTGGTGGCAACCATCTGAGAATGGACATTTCTATAGTCCCTGGGTAATCGACCAGGTAAGGAATCCTCTGGGTTGTTATTTTTTAATACAACTTTAGACTGTTTTCAGTCTTAATGTTTCCCTTTTGTGGCATACATCATTTCACTGGGTCAAGCAAAAATGCTTCATATAAAGGTATTCCAGAACTATAACAATCTAGCAAAATAATAGAGCACAATTACTGTTTGCTTATCTTGTGGTTTTGATGCATCATTTCCAGGCAGGGTACTGGACACCCATTTTGGAGCTATAAAAGCCTTTTATACATGGGTAGAGCCTCAGGTTCACATTGCAGAAGGCGTTACCATGCAACACGCAAGTCTGAGTTCAAACTTCAAAACCTTCATTTAAAATCTACCCAAATATGTAACTGGCTTAATAGAATGTAATAGAAAAAATACAGAAAAATGTCAATCTATATCCATCTTCTAATTTTGAAAACAAAGTTTTGTTTCATATTTAGGATTTGCTTCTATAAAGGTTATTATATTGCTTTGTATAACTTGGTATAAATCTCAAGAAACCACATTAAAGTGATTGCGCTCTAAGTAGTGTTATTGGGCTGTCCAAGTTCAACTTGCTTAAATATTTATGAATGATTTTTTAAAGGAGTTAGATCAGGTCCTTAAGAGAAACCCAGAAACCAAACTCCCAGCCTTGTATAATGATGTGGTTACAAAATTGTACTTCCCATCTCTCTATTTAAAAATGAAAAAATCCTCATTCTTTCATTCCTGTACCTTCATTGAATGTAGCTATATTAGTTCAGAACAATCAGAAACTGAATTCAGAACAACAAATGAAATGCAATTCTACCTTGCTTTCTGTTGAATTGTAAAATGCTGACATCTTACAGTCAATGCCAAACCATAGATTATTTCCCAAGTTCTGTCAGCAAATGCAACCTGATAGTAGTGCACCAGATTACAGTAGAGCTGAACAGTCAATAGGAAAAGTGATAGTGTAATCACTTTGCTCCTACCAACATTTATTTTTGTGAGCAGTTTTACTTCACCCAGGATGGAGTTCACCTCCCTGAACTTTAGATTTGTATAGCTGAGCTGATCTCTTTAGGACTCCTTATAGGAAAAAGAAATTCCCCTTCCTCATAACCTAAACTTTTTACAAAGTGAATTTGTCTATTTCGGGCCAGCAGAATATGTATGCATAGATCGGTAAATCTTTTCCTCCTCCAGGTTGCTATGTCATGTGTATGCTTTTAAGACTTGGAGACATCTTTTCTTTTCAATAACAATTCCTTTCCTAATGTTTCAGATTCTTATTGGAGGAAACATCTCTGGCAATACAGTATTAGAAGATGATTTCACCACACTGGATAGTAGAAAGTGGCTGCTACATCCTGGTGGAACAAAGATGCCAGTCTGTGGCTCTACTGGAGATGCTCTAGTGTTCATTGAGAAAGCCAGCACCCGCTATGTTGTCACCACTGACATCGTTGTCAACGAAGACTCTTTCTTGCAACTAGATTTCGCAGCATCCTGCTCTGTCACGGACTCCTGTTATGGTAATGACTTCTTGGTAATTCCTGCCCTTCCTCTTCCTCTCCTGTACAGGAAAGTTCACTTGTTTTCTGCTTCCATTATTCATTGTAATGACAACTGAGAAACAAAAGCAAGCTTCATGTTTCTGTTAGGATTTGTAATATCAGCTTTTTTATTCTAGGTGTCTGAAGCCTAAGATTAAGTATATTATTCCCTCTGAGCACTTAAGTTGCAGTTCAATTCATTTTAGAAAAAGACTAACAGTTTCCTTACTCAAATCCATTTACCAGAATATGGTATCCACTGCTTGGGGTAATCTTGTGGTTCTAATAATAAGCAGCAGGATGTTCCCAGCATGTTTCTTGCTTTGTGGTTTTGCATTTTTGGTGAGGTAAGTCTCAGTTCAGATCTCACTTGCACTTGTATAAGTCATTTGTATTAGCATACATCTGACACATGCTAAGTCAGCATCAGCTGCAAAAATTTTTACCACCCCAATGAAATAATAAACATGTATGTGTATGTATGTACGTGCATGAATGTGTACATAGATATATTCACATATATGTGTATATATACATATACACATCATGATGCAATTTTTAATTGCCTAGCTTCCTTTTCTCCATATGATATACACTGAGTGCACAGCACGCTTTTATGTGTGTATACGTATGTATACACAAATACACATATAAATAAAAACATGCTCTGCACTCTTCCTAGTTGTTGAATGCTTCTTTGTACATTTTAAATTACCTTCTTCTAGTGTAGGGTTCTGGGGTATCAATTTTTTTATGAGGAGAATACAATATGTTGCAGCACATAACATGTGTTAATTCACTCGGTTGCTGACTATTCCTCTAGGATTCTGCATGAAAATGGAAAAAGATTTGACATGAAGTCCCAGAAATGACTTCTCTGATTTTGCTATTCTGAAGCCAATGGAAGTAACTGAGATATTTTATTCACATGCTTAACAATATTTTTTTTCTTTTGGTATTAAAAAGACTGCAGCATCCTAAGATCATCTCTACTAAAGTTTAAAAATATTTTGGCAGCGTTAGCTATACACTGGCAAAGAAACAGTTCCTTCTTTTTTTGTTTCTTTGTCTACTACACTTACCATTATCTTAACTTAGTATTAAATTAGGCAGGACACTACCTAATCATGCTTCCAGTCATGATGAGCAAAGCATTTCATTCTGGTCACAGAGATTTAACACTAAAAACTCACTCATCCTTGTTTGTATTCACTTGTCCTTGTATTCCTATCGCACTGTCTTCTGTGCTTAGACATCAAGTAGGATTGATGTGATTGGGTGATTAACGGTCATTCTCTGTGCATGAGGGTAGAAGAAATGGGTCTGTAGTAATCAAAAAAGATTGCAGACTTATCACCCCTGCCACTGCAACCACGTTCCATGTTTTAAACAGCCAGAATGCCTGGAAGCTGGAACATTACTTCAAGTTACAGTCCTGTGCCTATTATTATTTACTTTTTAAGGGTTGCATAAAAGTTTAATTTGAAGTATTCAGTGAGCTTGACTAAACTTTATTTTTCATGATAAAAGTTTATAAGCTATAAACATCAAAACAATTAAATTGCTGATTTTTGCCGAGAAATTAAAACATTACTTTATGTGCCTAGGCGGTGTTTGAATGAAAACAAGCTCACTGACTAAGAAACTCAATTTAAAATTGTTTATGCTGGATAATGACATGAGCTGATCTGGAAGGGGGGGTGGAAGAGTGATTAAACTGTCTTGTGACAGAGCCAAACGTTTGAATTTGAGTGTTGCTCTGCCTTACACAACAATTATATCCAGCTGAATCTCATTCTTCAGCCTGAAAACCAAAAAATTTGCTGGTCATGATGCTGTCACATCACTTTCTTGCTCACTGCAACTACAAAAATCAGTTGGACTTAATCCTGGCAACTTGATAGATGACTTTGTCTTTGCACCTGTGGTCCCTTGAGTTAGGTGGCAGATGCAGAGGTGTACTGCAGCCTTCTCCTGAGCTATACCTGCTCAGCAACATGTAACATGTCCTCCAGCACTGCCACAGAGGTCAGTGTTTCTGACACAAGGGTTTGAAAAGATTTGAGTGGTTATTTTGTCAGCATAGACTTGTGACTAACGCTCTCTGGCGTTACCAGTTTATTGCAGACCTATGGATGTAAGTCTTTAAATTAAGTAATTAATGATCTTTCCACCCTTAGCTATTGAACTGGAATATTCAGTGGACCTTGGGCTGACCTGGCACCCGATTTTGAGAGACTGTCTTCCCACTAACGTGGAATGCAACAAGTACCATCTCCAGAGGATTCTCATTTCGGACACTTTCAACAAGTGGACCCGGGTTACTTTGCCTCTGCCTCCCTATACTAGGTATCTACCACTGGGTTTCTGAAGAATAAGTCTAAATTCATAACTATGTATTGAGGCATGATATGTTACAGCATTAAAATAATTGTACCTTGTTTGGTCCGTGCATGTAGCAAAAATAAGTAAATGAAGCCCTTTCCCGCTTTGCATAAAAATTGCAAAGCTACTTATATACGTTTACTTCTCTTAGTTTTTCAAAGATTGGAAATTCTTGTCTGTCCTGTCCTGGGCAGGGCCAGGGGGAACTTTTTAAAGAATCTCATGTTATTGTCAGCCTCACTAAATTCTGGTTGGTTTGGTGGCTAATTGGACTGGCTGAACCCGCACTGCGCCCTATGCCTGCTGCTGTCGGCTATGAGCTGGTGCTTTAAATGTAGCACTTTTCAGGCTTCTTGTTTTTCTGTGCATTCCTTGTATCCTTTGTGTCTCTCTCAGCTTTGATGCTCTCGTCATTGTTTTCACACATCTCATTATCACCTGCTCTTCCTTTTCCTACATTCCTTTGTCTTTGAGGGAAGAAAAATTGTGGAATTTGTTGGGAGGATGTAGTGGAAGGAGCTGTTTGGGACTGACAGTTCTATTGGGAATGCTGCCATACACTTCCCTACAATGCCCTGAAAACTGCTGGATTTTTGTTTTATTCATCAAAAAGACCCATCTAGGGACAACTGGGTAGTTCAGCCTTCCAGGCTGCACCCTTCTCGATCGGCTGTTTTGCAGCGATAGCTGTGACTGTCCCCCACGCAGTCATACCCGATAAAGCCAGCGTAGGGCTAGCCCAAAGTAAAACACTGCAAACACAGGTAGTGTGGACATCAGGCTCTCAGCACAACTTCAATTCTACAGCTTTGCTCCTATTGCTGAGCCCAATCTCCTCCCGTAGGCATAAGCTGAGCTAACTGCAGGCACGGAAGTACCACAGCGCAGGCAGAGCCTATGCCTGTTTGAGAAGGTTGTTACGAAAGGTGCCAGCTAATGCACATGTGAGTTTGAAATGGAGACCTTTATTTTTTAGCAATTGTACTGAGGGCACCTATACAGTTGCCACACATTATGAAACTAGTAGTGGAAAAGTCTATGTTCTATTACTGATCATTTGGGGCATCTAGACTCTTCTCTATCTCCAGTGCGGTGTTTCACGTTGAGTAATTTTTTAGGACTTGTTCCCAGCGTTCATCTGCTCTGCTTCCTCTTTTGTATTGCTTCACTCCGTATTGCCTGTAAAATCCATTATCCAAACAGTTCTTTCAAAAAGTCTGTAAACTTGTGTTCAGGAGGGGCTTTCTGGGGCTGAATAGGATAAATCAGGACTGGGGTTAATGTTTTAAACCAATTGAATTCAGACCTGAAAGGAACCTACCACCTGAGACAAACTCAGGTTTATAAAGAACTGCAATTTTAAGACTGAAACATTTTTTGAACAGTATATGTCAAAAGAACAAGTCTGATGCCCTACTGAGGCAAAGATTGCTTTTCTGTCCAACTCAATAACTATATTTGATGGCTCAAGTAATAACATTTCCCAAAGATATTGATAGGGATTACATGACAGAGGTTATTACAACCTTAGCTCATAAGCAAGGGAGATGTTAAGCTTTAGAATAAGGAATAGTGCAGCTAATAGGCCCTTTAGTCCATATGAGATATAATTTTTATGCTGCTTTATTACTTCAAGCTGTGTAATAGCAGGTGTGTGTCTCCAATTGTTTGTGCCTGTATGTTTTAGGGATGTGCAGGCTACATAGTCAACAGCTTGGCCTGGTGCACAGCACTCATACTTACGTAGCCTTTTAGGGCTTGTGTACCCCACTGTGCTATCTAACCTCTGGCCTGTAGAAGGCAACGAACACTTAGTTTTAACTTAGACTCAGAGCTGATTTTAAAATGCAAATGCAAACACAAAGCTTCTCCCAGCAGCATCAGCTCCATAAATCATTAGTGAAGCACCAAACCTAAAGCAGGCAGTGATACAGGTGCTTGTCTTTATTCTTGAAAGACTTGCTCATAATTTATGCATTTCTTTTTAAAATGCTATTTGTGAGCAGTTAGACAGCACAGCAGTAGATTTCTCTTGTGATAAACTTGTTATTCATTCATCTCACGTAACATGTTTATAAAGAAATAATTCACAGGATAACATTGACCTTACATAAAAGGTCTATTTTTACACTGAATAAATTTTGTGGATTTTGCTGTTTATTTGTTTTATTGTTTACAATAATTATGATTTCCCTTTGACTTTCAGGAGAAAACAGACTACACAAAGTTCAATGCTGCCATCTAGTGCTGTACAGCAAAACATGGACTAGCTTGAATTTAAAATAGTGGTTTTGATAAGTTACAGAAATTCATCTACTTGCAGCTATTCAAATAGAGGTGCCTACTGCTGCACAAGCTCAATAGCTATTTGGTGTCCCCTGACTGTTTCAGCTAGGTTTTCATCATCTGTCTTGGGAGCTGAGACATTTAATTCACATATAGCTACATCAAAGCAAGATGTTTATATAGGGAGCTAGGCCCCCTTTAACCAACAAAATGTAAATGCTTTACTGAACGGATCCAGGATCACACCATAGATAATTTCTTAACATTTCCAGCCAAGCCCTGGATGGAGGCAGGGGAGGCAACTGCAAAACCAGGCTCACGCCGCAAGCCCTGCACACGCGCTCTCACCTGACACCTGTAGATTTATAAATGGCAGCACCTCGCCTAGGAGGCAACCCCTACCTAGAGTTGCTCTTACCTAAGTGTACTTGGGAGAATTCATAGAGAAAAAGTTGGGTTAGTTTGTTGACTTGGGCTGAAGCAATAAAACTCAGGCTCAGGGTGGAACTTGGAGGATTTGGGTGATGCTGGCTTGATCTAGCTCCCCACTATCCCTCAAGTTCGGATCTGTGCTGGGACGTGGTTATGATTGGTCTGAGCTTCCCTTTGGGCATACCACCTTCTTCCTACCCTCTTCTCCTCTGCACCAACCACAGCCCACTTGCTTTGCTCTTACCAGTGATCCCTTTCCTACCTCCTGCATCCTCAGCATGCTATCAAGCACCCATGCTTTGTCCTGCTTTCAAAACGTGGGCACCCTGTTCTTGGCTTTTCAGGGACCTTGTTGTTGTCAGGAATCAGCCCTAGGTTGTGATGACATCAAACAAACCTTTCAGCAGCAGTCTAACCTCAAGACTGACATTTCCTTTCAGTCAAAATAAAGATTAGCTTAGCTAGAAATATTACCTTCCTGTTTTTCTTTCTCTCCCAAAGGTCTCAAGCAACTCGTTTCCGCTGGCACCAGCCTGCACCTTTCGATAAGCAGCAAACGTGGGCAATCGATAACGTCTACATTGGGGATGGCTGCATAGACATGTGCAGTGGCCATGGGAAGTGCACACAAGACAACTGTGTGTAAGTGCCATTTGTTCCCTGTTCTGCCCAGTGCAGCAGCATTTCACTCGTCCTCTGTTATTTTAACAAACTTGTGGGAAAGACTCTGATACATTTTTTAAAAGGAAGCTGGATTTTCCTGTTAAAACCAAGCAGGGCACCAGGATCACCTGGGAATAGAAATAACTAGAGGAAGGGTAAGTGCAGGGGTTGGCGCTGCCAGATTCTGCCCGCTCACACATCATGGGTGATGATGCTGGTCCTTTCCTCAGTGGCAAAGCATCACCTCTGCTGTTGCCTACTCTGCTTCTTGGCTCCCCTCCCACCAGGTAGGGAGAAGGGACCCCTTGAGTTTTCACATCCCCCTAAAGACACACAGTTCTGAAGCTTTCCAGATGCCATCCTTATTCCCAAGGGGTTTCACATTGTGTCTCCGTGCCCTTATCCTCTCGCTGGATTCAGAGAACCTGGGCTGGAGTTGGGATGCATTCACTAAGCAGAAGGATATATTCCAACCCTTCACAAGGCCAGATTTTGTCTTGGGATTGGTGTTGGCTTGATGGCCTGTTGCATCTGCTCCACAGTAGGGTTTGCTGGTGAAGGCAGACTGGCTTGATCCTCAAACTGTCTGTATAACAGCCCACGTAGAGCCCTGCAAAGCTAACAAACAACCTGATCTCCCCAGATTTTTCTGTCTGGCAACAGAGAAATACCTTCCAGATGGATGTACTGCTTTTTTCCAGCCATAAATGGCAACAGAAATGGGAGAATGGCTGTGTGGTTGCGCTGTGACTATGTTTGTTAGAAATATATTCTGCTGCAGAATAGACATTATTGTGTTGTCCTCTATCCTGACCTCACTGAAGTACGATCTCCCTGGTGAAATCTGCATAGTAGAAGAACACATTTCCATGCTGTTATTCAACCTTTGACACATTATAAGAAGATTTTTCAGAGGAGGAAAAAAAAAGTGGGGGACTATATAAAGAAACAACAGGAAAGTACCCATCCACTGAAATTTTACAAAAACTTACTTAAAATTTAACATTAGCAGGACATTCTTCGGCTTGGCACATTCTCCTAGGTTTATCTATCCAAGTACAACGTAATTTACTGATTTTACTCTGTGCTGGAGTGTACTCTGTATTAGCAGCTTGAATGATACATAATACTAGCCTTCCTAAAGTCATTTTTGTTTCATATTAACTACACAAAGCGGCAGATGTTTGAAACCCCCATATACCAGTTGTGCGCTAGTAAAAGATGCAGACAGCCTTTATGCAGAACAAGATGGCACCTTAATGCGGAATAACATGGCACTGATTAAACCTCCATGCAGAGCCTTTGCCGGCTGAATTTTGCATTTGTTTTCCTCTGCAGCTGCGATGAGCACTGGGGTGGGCTGTACTGCGACGAGCCAGAGACCCCCCTTCCAACACAACTGAAAGATAACTTCAACCGCTCGCCATCGAACCAGAACTGGCTGACGGTGAACGGGGGCAAACTGAGCACGGTCTGCGGGGCAGTTGCCTCTGGGATGGCTCTTCACTTCAGCGGGGTGTGTGTTCAGCATGGGGGCAACTCACTCCATTTGAAAGTGTAAATGAGACTGATTTAAGAAGATGAATAAATAGTAAGGTGTTAAAAAATATCAGCATAACATATAACATATAAAAAAACTTAAATCCTCTGCCTAGCTGAAGGTCAAAGTCAAGACAGGTCCTACAGACTAGAGCCAGCCAGAAACACTCCAGATACCATGTTCCTGGCTATGCTGCAGCCAGGAAAATGAGATACAGTGTATGTGCCTCCTGAAAGGAGCTGTGGAGGGGCCTTTGGAGGTGGAGCTGATAGATTAAAGCACAGTCCAAATCTGTAGACATTGAATTCCACTCACACGTAACAGCCCCCTCATAGCACCTATAGCTTCCAGAGGCTGGAGTTCAGTGCAGCTTCTAATCAAACCAAAGAGGTAAATTAATAACTAGGTATTTGCATGTGTATAACTTGCACTTGGTCCTTGCAAATACATCCATGTGTAGCCTTATCCTTCAGATATTTCATTGCTGTTTTTTTTTCAGAGTAAACTCAGAGTAAATTTCCTGATTTAGCTACATACATAGGCATACAACCCAGACTGCTGCTGAATTACAGTTTGCTTACAGATAACTTCAGGATTATAAAAATGACAAAATAGTATTTTAGCAAGACGTAAAACTTATGCTTGTAGATCTCTTCCATACAAATTTATAACTAGATTCAAACCGATGCAAGTTTCTAAACTAAACTAACAAACAGAAGCATTACATTTCCTCTTCCTTCCAGTAGGACTAAGTAGGTATTACTAACTAATGGACTAAGCAACACGAAATATGTAAGGGATTATGAGAAAACACACATATTAAAATTGCTGTGCCATTTGATGGCTTGCATAAATTGAGCCATTAGCACATAATCAATGATTCATTAATTCTGCCTGGAAAACCTTGTGGTTTACACTGGAGACATCGATTTTTGTAACTCGTACTCAGAAGAAAGGTGAATACTTGATACTGCATGTAGGTACAAGTAGCAACGTGTATGAATACACAACAGGAATTTTTAAGATGGAACACAGCAAATTATGTCCTCAGGGAAGAACATTTATTGTTCTGTTGTAGCTTTACCTTTGTTATAATTAGTATAATTTTGTACAATTTTGAAGGTTTTTACTACATGAAGTTCTATTAGTAGTGACTGCATGGTCTAACACTTTTTATGTTCATAAGTTTTGCCAGCCAACATAAGCCAACGCATTTTTTCATTGTTTTTAAGGGCTGCAGCCGTATGTTAGTTACAGTGGACTTGAACCTCACCAGTGCAGAATTCATCCAGTTTTATTTCATGTATGGGTGTCTGATAACTCCTAATAACCGCAACCAGGGAGTGCTGCTGGAGTATTCTGTGAACGGTGGAATCACCTGGAGCCTCTTAATGGAAATTTTCTATGATCAATTCAGCAAGCCTGGGTTTGTAGATACCTTCTTCTGCCTGTATAATTTCCTGTACTGAAGCAAGGTGGTCTTGAATGTTTCATAAGAAACTGTGGGACATATTACTGCTGTGGTTTGGATGTCAGCTCTTTAAGAGTTCAGCCTGTCCAGTCCTGCAAGCATTTATGAACGGCCTTAGTACGTATACTTGAGCATCAGCATTTGTGCAGCTGCTAGGCCAGAAAAACAAGGGTAGTAAGGAGTCTGTAGCAGTCTGGTAGATTTGTAAATCATTGCAGGAATATTAATTAATAGCTGCTATAATGATGTCCAACCTGTTCTATAAAATACTTTCATTTGCAATCTAGTTTCTTACTGACAAGAGCAGAAAGTCATTGCTTGAACTAGTTAGTTAGAAAATGATATGTAGAGGAGAAACTGAACTTCTTCAGATAGCCATCAAAAGGATGAATATACTCAAGCCCTATTTTCAGATATTTGTGAGATTCAGATCATGTATAGATATGGGTGGACCTTTACCTCAATGATTAATTCAAAAGACTACAGAAAATGAGGCTGGGAGGGACCCATTATTTGTTATTTCATTTGAACAGACCAAGAAATAACTAGAACTTTAATCGGACAAGAGATTTAAATGTACTATATTCTACTGTTGTAATGGAAATAAGAAAATTGTACTGGAACATTGCTATCTACTGAATGGCTCCATGTTGAAAACAGTAGTCTTAATTTTATTTCAACATTCCCCTTCTTAACACTTCCCTTAATGAGGACCTTATGGTCACACCCTGCTAGTCTAGACCATTGCATTTTGTCCCATAAGCACAGTTGGAGCATGTGACGTTGCTCAAACCATGCCACCGTCTGGGTCCTGCCCCTTCCCACCTCACTCTGAGCCCCTGTCCCAGGAATGACATTGGGAGTGATCAGGAAGAATTTTGTTTCAGCAGTCTCCCCTGGGGGAACAAACATAGGCTAGATCACCCTGTCTTTTCCTTCTTTCCCAGCTTCCACATAGTCTAGGAAACAGCAGGACTGGACCTGGTCAAAGCACCCGGCACAAAACATTGAGAAGTGTCCTCGCCCTGTGGCTTTCCTACGACTAATTTGAACATTCTATTACAGCTTTGTGAACATCCTCCTTCCCTATGATGCCAAAACCATTGGGACGCGCTTCCGCTGGTGGCAGCCTAAACACGATGGCCTGGACCAGAACGACTGGGCTATCGATAACGTGTTGATCTCCGGCTCAGCTGACCAGAGGACGGTGATGCTCGACACCTTCAGCAGCGCTCCCCTGCCACAACATGAGCGCACCCCTGCCGACGCAGGGCCCACCGGGAGGATCGCCTTTGACATGTTCATGGAAGACAAAACTACAGGTAAAGGTTTCACGTGGATCTGAATTAAAGAGCAAGAAGTCAGTGAGGCGATTTCCAAATCTTGCTGAGCCTCTGAATTTTTGTCTCGCTGTGATGGATATCATGGACAATCCCATCACTGTCACGAAAGGTCTTCCCTTTTGTTTCTAATTCACAAAATGTGACATTAAGAGATGTAATGTAACTTTTCTTTTTTTACTGCATGAGTTTACTTAGAAGATTATCTTCTCTTCAGAGAAAGAAAAAAGAATTAAGAAGTGCCAGGTTATTCTGAGCAGACTACTTAACCTGTTTCCAATTTCCTAACTTTTTAAAACATTCTTTAGGGAAGGTAGGCTACATCTTACAACCAATTTTTGTGGAGGATTTATTTCTAGATGTTTACAAGGCTTAACAGATAACAGTGCTGGGGTACACTTTGTGCAGACATGTAGGCAACACCCATTAAAAAGTTCTCCCATAATGTCCAGTGCAACAGAAGTTTATGTTTTGGGTAAGTCTCAGATCCTTACTTCCTGAACATTAAAAAATAATGCTATAATGTTTGTGTAAGAGAATAGCAAGAGGTGCTTTGAGAAATAGATGTGATAGGTATAATAAATACATACATGGGAAAGATGGGGTACCAACATTCTCAGGAGCAATACTAAATAATTCTCACGTAGCCTGGGAAATAAAACCATGAATCACCTTTAGTGGTTAACACTACTCCCAGTTTTCTTTAATTTATATTGCCACTGTATATTACTGACATTGCCATTTATTTTCAAGTGAACGAACACTGGTTATTCCATGATGATTGCTCAATTGAGAGGTTTTGTGATTCTCCTGATGGTGTCATGATCTGTGGGAGCCATGACGGCAGAGAGGTCTACGCAGTCACCCACGACCTGACTCCTACAGAAGGCTGGATTATGCAGTTCAAGGTAAAATCTCTGTCTGCAATATAATTATTCAAAACCACATTTTGCTCCAGGTCTAAGTAGATTTTCAGGAGTCGGGATGATGTATAGGCCTACACATGAGCCATTCCCTGCAGGGAAAATTGTTATTAGGCCATCCTCTTTTTTCTCACCTCCGTGTTGCTCTCATCTCAGCTTTAATACCGCAGGCTGTTCTTAGAGGTGATGCACTTTTCCAGCACAGCTGTTCTATGGACATCATGTAATAAGGATATTACACATATACTAGGTGCCTATTTTGTTACAGCTCCTTGGTGAGGGAAAAGCAGCTCCAAAGTAGTCCACACCTCCTATCTTGACATTCATTCACATCAAACCTGCACCCAAACTGCCCTCCATACACCACTTTACCTAAACTGAAGAAATAACCCAGCAATCTATGGGAGTTGTAAGAGCCCTTTGCACATCTCTCCCATAAAGCCAGTCTGCCTGACACAACTGAGCTGAGTGGCCTCCTCTGTAATATTCAAATCTTAGGTTGTGTGGGAGGTGAGATGAACTTTATTAGTTATGGGGTACTGGGGTATAAGACACAAGTGTCAAAACCTGGAAATCCGGAAATGTGAGCTAACTAGAAGAAAACAAAACTCAGAATATGGTGCCTGTTCTTAATCTTGGTAATATTCATGAGATCTACAGATGACTAGTACCCTACAAGCACGGTTACTGCCATCATTTCAAGCAAAATTCTGCAGTCAGTTTTCAGGTTCAAACATTTTTTTTTAAATTCTAACTATCACCACAATTAATTCTAATTTACTTATGCTCTCTTCTTTACTAGGTTTCTGTTGGATGCAAAACCTCAGAAAAACTTGCACAAAATCAGGTCCACGTGCAGTATTCCACTGACTTTGGCGTTAGCTGGAGTTACTTAGTACCTCAGTGTTTACCAGCTGACCCAAAATGTTCTGGGAGTGTTTCACAGCCATCTGTCTTCTTTCCTACAAAAGGATGGAAAAGAGTAACTTACTCACTGCCTGAAAACCTTGTGGGCAAGTAAGTATGAATTCACAGCTCATTTTGTCTTGGATTCAGTACCTTCTGAAAAACACAACAGAAGATACATCTGCCTATTCATTTTGTTTCAAGGAAACTGCAGACTAGCAGCGTTTACGTTCATTATGTAGGCTGCATAATTTTATTTGCTATCAATCAAGATTGACCATGACTCTTGGTCTGAACAGGCAAAGCTATCCTTCTCTGCAGTCTGCTCCAATACAGCAGTTCTGCTCTGTTCAGACAGCCGCAGTCAATTAGAGAGCAGATTTACGACCTTACTGAGTGGAAAAGTTACCCTTATTGTCTGCAGCAGTCTGCACACATGCAAACCATTTGTCTTTTTCTGCAAAATTAAAATCTCTTATATTCTTTGAGTAATCTGCTCAGGAAGTATAAACAAAATTTAAATTCTCTTGCAAGAAGCCAGAGTAGCTTTTTCTGGCTTCAGCAGTGTCTGGAATCCATCCATATATCATAGGTAGTACATGTGTGAAGAAGATATGGATATGTATAAAATCAATTTCAACAGATACTGCCAGATAGTACTTGTGGAAGCTTGGAGGATAGTGCAGTCAAAAGTATATTGTGTTTCACCCACCTTTTTCAGTTGAGGCAAGTTGTTTTATACATATGTCTGTTTTTCTTGATTTCTTTATATCTAGTCCCGTGAGATTTCGGTTCTACCAGAAATATTCAGATATGCAGTGGGCCATCGACAATTTCTATCTGGGCCCTGGTTGTCTAGAAAACTGTAGAGGCCATGGAGACTGCCTGAATGAGCAATGTATCTGTGATCCTGGCTATTCGGGGCCAAACTGCTATCTGACCCAAACACTGAAGGTAATTTTACTGCATGTTTTAAAGAGTGAATTTTGTCATGTCTTTGGCTGAGAAAGAGAGAGGGGAGAAATCAGTCCCACTGGAAATTCAGCTTTGATTCCTGTCAGCCTGAAGATACTCAAATCCATTTTCAGCCCTTTTATAATTTTTTAACAAAACTGTTACTGCAGTATCCAAGAATGGGTTTGTTCTTTTGCAAGTAATACTGCCTGAAAAAGCTGTAATAAAGTCATCATTATATGACCTAAATCACCCTTGCACATATGATTATATTCGATTGAGATCTGTAGAAAGATCGTCTTTATCATGAAAGAACTTGCTGAAGTAGGGAATACAAGAAAATTACATAAAAGTAAAACTAATTCTCCTAGCTGTTGTTAGTGTTACCCTATAACAAGTGAGAGAAATCTAGTTAGATATCGCTAATTTTTAAGTTTAAATATTTTAAAAACTTAACATATTTAGAAAAGAATATGTAAGGAACTCCAAAGTAGTTGAAAATGCAGTGTTTACCATCTCATTTTTTTCTACATTAGATAACAACAGAATAGGTACGTGCTCCACAGAATCACCAGGTTAAGCAGCATGCTGTCTAAAGAGAATACAACTATTTAACTTTTCAGTTACCATGTCATTTGAATTATTATAGCCTTCTGGTTTTCATCTGAGACACTAAGTACATGAACAAATATAATTATCTGTTTAATATTTTTAATTAGTAATGTATTCTTCACATTAAGGACATTTGGGATAAAATCCTAGCAGTTTTAGGGTGGTTTTACAACTATGTCCTTAAGGCCGGGATTTCACTCATGGCATTGCTTTTACTGCACACCTGGAAGTAAGTGGAAATCAGAGATATATTCTAGATGGTTTTCACTGCAAATATTTGTTCAGACAGTTGCATAAACATATATTCACTGCAATAACATTAAAATTTCATTGTAGTACTGGTTTTGCTGGGGAAAAAATATAGAATAGCAATTTCTCCCATACATACTAAACATGTACGGGAGTGGTGATACACAGTCTTAAATAACCATAGTTATGAATTAGACCCATTTTGGTGGGTTGACCCTGGCTGGATGCCAGGTGCCCACCAAAGCTGTTCTATCGCTCCTCTGAGTGACAGAACAAGACAAACAAGTGGATAAGACAGAAAAAATATAATGAAAGGCTCATGGGTCGAGATAAGGACAGGGAGAGATCACTCACCAATTACCATCTCAGGCAAAACAGACTTGACTTGGGGAAATTAATTTCATTTATTACCAATCAAATCAGAGTAGGATAACAAGAAAATAAAAACTAAATCTTAAAACACCTTCCCCCCACCCCTCCCCTTCAACTTTACTCCTGATTTTCTCTCCCTCCTCCCCACCATGTGTCACAGGGGGACAGGGATTGGGGGTTGTGGTCAGTTCATCACTCATTGTCTCTGCCGCTCCTTCCTCCTCAGGG